GAGGCGGCCGGTGCGCAGCCCGCCGGAGCCGCCGAGGAGGCACCGCCAACATGGCTTCCCCCCCGCACCAGCAGCTGCTGCATCACCACAGCACCGAGGTGAGCTGCGACTCGAGCGGCGACAGCAACAGCGTGACGGTGAGGATCAACGCCAAGCAGCAGCAGCAGCAGGGCTGTGCCTCGGCCAAGCACTGCAAGTACAGCATCTCGTCCAGCTGCAGCTCCGGGGAGTCGGGGGGCACGCGCCGGGCCGCGGCCGGCCACAGCGGCGGCCTGCGCCGGCACAAGAAGCTGCCGCAGCTCTTCGAGAGGGCCTCGTCCAAGTGGTGGAACCCCAAGTTCGACTCCAACAACCTGGAGGAAGCCTGCATGGAGCGGTGCTTCCCGCAGACCCAGCGCCGCTTCCGCTACGCCCTCTTCTACATCGGCGTGGCCTGCCTGCTCTGGGGCATCTACTTTGGCATCCACATGAAAGAGAAACTGCTCGTTTTCGTGGTGCCGGCTCTGTGCTTCCTCTTGGTGTGCGTGGCGTTTTTTGCGTTCACCTTTACCAAGACTTACGCCCGCCATTACGTGTGGACTTCGCTGACGCTCACCCTCCTGGTGTTCGCCTTGACGCTGGCACCGCAGTTCCAGGTGCTGACACCTCTCTCAGGAAGCGGTGACGTGGCCAACCAGACTCCCCCAGCCAACCCCTCGGACACTTGCCTTTCTCAAGTAGGCAGTTTTTCTATGTGTATTGAAGTGCTCTTGTTGCTTTACACGGTGATGCACTTACCCTTGTATTTAAGCTTGTTTCTGGGCCTCTCTTACTCGGTCCTCTTTGAGACCTTCGGGTATCACTTCCGCGATGAGAACTGTTTTACGCCTCTTGGCGCCGGGGCGGTTTACTGGGAGTTGTTGAGCAAAGCCTTCCTCCACATCTGTATCCACGCCATCGGCATCCACCTATTTATCATGTCCGAAGTCAGATCGAGAAGCACATTCCTGAAAGTGGGGCAATCAATCATGCATGGAAAAGACTTGGAAGTGGAAAAAGCCCTGAAAGAGAGGATGATTCATTCTGTTATGCCGAGAATAATAGCTGATGACTTAATGAAACAGGGGGATGATGAAAGCGAAAACTCTGTCAAACGTCATTCCACCTCAAGCCCCAAAAGCAGGAAGAAGAAGCCCTCCATCCAGAAAACCCCCATCATATTCCGTCCTTTCAAAATGCAGCAGATAGAACAAGTGAGCATTTTGTTTGCAGATATCGTTGGCTTCACGAAGATGAGTGCAAACAAGTCTGCCCATGCCCTCGTGGGACTCCTGAACGATCTCTTTGGCCGCTTCGACCGCCTGTGTGAAGACACCAAGTGTGAGAAGATAAGCACGTTGGGAGACTGTTACTACTGCGTAGCTGGTTGCCCAGAGCCTCGGGCAGATCACGCTTATTGCTGCATTGAGATGGGCTTAGGGATGATTAAAGCTATCGAGCAGTTTTGCCAAGAGAAGAAAGAAATGGTGAACATGAGGGTCGGTGTTCATACGGGCACGGTCCTCTGTGGCATTTTGGGAATGAGGAGATTCAAGTTTGATGTGTGGTCCAATGATGTCAATTTGGCCAATCTCATGGAACAGCTGGGGGTGGCTGGAAAAGTCCATATTTCAGAAGCTACTGCAAAATATTTGGATGACCGCTACGAAATGGAGGATGGAAAGGTGATTGAACGAGTTGGTCAGAGTGTGGTTGCCGATCAGTTAAAAGGTATGTGCTCTTATTTTGTATCATTTTCCTTCTTTTTTGTTTAACGTGTTTTCCAGTCTTCTGCCTGTTGATTCCTGCAGCCCGAACGTGTCTTATGTTTATCACTGTGTGCTAGTGATCAGAAACATCATAGGACTGAGAGCTGCCATGGAGAGATAAGTGCAAAAGATCATCTGGGGTATTTGGAGTCTACACTGGCTTCCAAACTCCTTAAAATTCTTTGGGAGAGTATTGCGTAGTAGGGAAGCGAAGGTTAATGTGTTTGCTGCCTCCAAAAGGGTTTTGTTTTGCTGTAGTGTGTCATCCTTTACTTCAGCAAGTAAACTTGTTAATTGGCTTTATGTGTCATACATTAGAGCATATGTGTTTTGCAAAATTATGTCTATCTGTGAAAGTTTTTGGCACTGAAGGAGTAGGTACTGAGAAGGCTTTGGGGAAAAATGACAGCTGGATTCACAGAGAGAAATGAGCGCTGTGTATTTGGCAGTTTGATAGCAAGTTGTTGCAGTTAGACTGGAAAAAGTTACTCAGGTGGTTTCCTAGGCAAGCAGATATTCTTATTCCTGCATTTTTTTAACGGTTTGGGGATAAAACTGCAAATTTGCAATTTGGAAAAGAAAATAAAGGATCATTTGATTCCCTTTATGGCTTGGATAGAGGTCCAATTTTCATTCTTCTGTGAAGTATTCGTTTTGAAATGAACCCCTTGATTGCTTTCCAGTAGAGATAGCAATACTTCAGAAGTACATTCAGGAGGATTGTATGTGTTGAGAGTTTAATTGTCTGTCTCTGTAGACCTATAAAACTGTGAGTGCAGACATCAGAAAAACTGTCTGTTACTTCAGTGCTGTGCGTTTGTCTCACAGAGGTTTATTTGTTCTGCAGTGGCTGTCRTCCAAAGTGGGGAACAGACAAAAGAAAATGAGAGCAAGAATACRTTTGATGTTATGGGCCTTTGCTTATTCCTTTGGTTTATATATGTGCACATTTTTTGTATAGAAAATGTGGAAAACTATGTGGAAGAAATTGTGATAGGACAGCGTTGTGATGGAGGAAGAGAGATTTGTTGTGGTAAACGTAAGAAATGAGGACAGCAGTTGTAGAAAGGTCAGCGAGGAAGGACAGGASGGGAGCGTGTTGCAAAACAGGGGACGTGGTAATAGCAGCCTGCTTGTCTGTGGCAGGAGCTTATTTGGATGTCAAAAACGCTTAATTTTGGTGAACTCGCTGTCCAGATGCACGAGGCAGGAGGGATGAAATAAGAGGCTTATGGGGAGGAAAATACTGATAATTACACAGATAGCTGGAAGCCATAGAACTGGAGCAGATGTGTGCCTGGACTTCAGCTTTGTGTTTAACTTTTAAAAATACAAATCAAATTGATTTATTTGAAAATTGACGATACCGGTATCTCTTAGATGACCTATACTTTCAAGAAAAAAAAAACAGATGTAAAATCTTCTTGTTGATTTATTTTTTTAATTTATTTATTTATTTTTTTTTTGGTAAAAATAAGTGGAACTTGTAGAAGGAAAGCTCTGGGAGGCTGAAGCTCGCGCTCTTCTTTTTCCATCTGACTTCGTTGCTAGATGCAGTGTGAAGGCCACGTTGTAGCAACAGATTAAGTATTTTTGTTAGGTTTATAGTGCTCGTCAGTATCATTAATCAGAAAGTGACATTAACCTACTTGTGGAGACTGGTGGTATTGCTCTTAATATTGATCTATCTAATCTATTTATTTATTTAGATTTTTCCAGGAGACCATAGAAGCATGGTACAGAACAACTCCTCCCCATCTCACGAGTGTTTCTAGTGTTTCTTCACATTTTTTTCCCCAGAAATCCGTTCTGTCTTATGTTTACTGCAAGAAGGCCTAGGTTGCCACCTCTTTAAGAGGTTGATGACACTTAGGTTCAGATTTTGCACTTTTGGGTGTGTTCCACAGCTCGTGCTATAGCCAGGGTGTTACAGGTGGACGAACTAAAATGCAATTTAGATAAGAGCAGAGTGCACTTCATTTGTGCTTTGACGTTATAACGATTACTTCTTGCCTTGCAATCTGGCTATGGAGATAATTGAAAAAACTACTAAGATTTTCTTTAACAAGGAATATTGCCTGGTTCCATTTTTTTTCCATCTGTAATCAGCTGGCATTCTCTTATCAATGTGGTATATAACTATACCAGGTGAAAATCTCTATGTGCCCTGTGCAGCCAACCCAGCAGAACTGCACTGCACCTTCAGTGCTGGGATATGGACTATATAGCTCCTCTCCCTTAAATAGGCCCTGCCTAAATGCTTCATATAGGCTCTGCCCAGCTCACCCATGATGCACACTGTGTTCAGTTACCCAGTTCTTCCCTTTCCCTGTATACTTTCCATACACAGACCGATACATTTATGGCATCAGGAACGAAATAGTGCAAGGGCAGCAATGCAGGCAGCAGAACCACACAACTGAGAGACTGGATTTTAAAACATGCTGCAGGGGAGTTCCGTTAGGAAGCAGCCGTGAGATTTCACCTCCTAATTGTCCTCTGCCCAGTGCCCGCTAGGTTTTGGGAGCGGAGGAGGAATTAGGAGCTCTCCTCTCCAAGCCAGTTGTGCCTCCCCGCCTGTTAGTTGGTAGTTGCAACAGAGAAGAGGAAGTTTATTGTGGTTATTTAATTATGTGATGCTCGTATTCTATTCACGTATTGAAGTGCAGTTGAGATAACCAGGCCTGAGCTTTATTTCCTCACCAGCACTTTACTTCTGAGCTTCCTTTCAACCTCTGGTATCTTAATGATATCCTATTTTTTACGTTGTATGTCTAACATACTATCTCTTAATTGTCTGAGCTGCCACAGTAGTCATAATTATCTTTCTAAGGCTAAGTCAACATTAGCAAGTGATCTGGCCTTGTTTCTGCAAGGTACACGGCACAGCTGTGAAACTTCTTCTTTCCCTGAGCCCTTCCGYAGTTCACTGGGATTTTTAGAGTGGAAAAATCCTTTCTTCCATCTCTGATTGCCAAATGATACGACACTCTCCTTGGCTCCTTATGGCAAGAACGGGGGCCTGGGTATTTTCCCACAGGTGGTTCTGATTTAGATAAATGCTATTTAAAATGAATCGACAGAGAGAGCCGTTGATGACATGACAATATTTTTTGCCCATTTCAGACCAGTGCTTGCTTAGGATCACGTTATGCCTTTCGTCTTCTCAGCAACTCTGATCCGCTTGCTGATGAGAGGAGCCTGACGAGCGATATCCTCGTAATTTCTGTGGTTGACACAGAAAGTGTAGATCTTAATTGAAGTTTTCCATAAGAAATTTTGCACAGAATTTTAAACAACTCGTTTYTTTCTCAACAAGTTTCGTAGGAAATAAGCGTATTAAAGACTATGAGATGCTGACAGCGCATAATCCCTGAGGTTATGACAGAGAGATGTCTCTCCTCTGGACCCTGCAGAGCCTGAAGTTCTCTCCTTTTCAGGGTATAAAAAGTTCTGCTTGAGGAAATATTTTTGTTTTGCTCTGCTCTTCTTGGTTGTTTGCATTTCTCCTTTTTGTTGCTTATGATGTCAGAATATTGCTATTTATCCATCAGCCAGAAAATCTGCCAGGAATATCAGGGTCACTGACATCTTTTCTTGAATGCTCAAAATATATAAGTTTGTTGGGGCAGGAATGCGTTCTCTGTGTTTATGGAGCCCAGCACAGCGGAACTGTGACTTCATTTGGGGCATCTGTATATATACTGTTAACTCTGATAATAGTATTTATTAACTGAGTTCTTGTTTCAAAAAAAAGACATCTCCAGCACTCTTCAGCAAGATACTTGTGTTCAGTTTGTCCCATAAATGCGGTTCTTATAGAAGCCTTTGAAGATGGAAAAACGTTTTGTGTGTGATTATCCTCTGCTTTGTCATGGAAAAAAMCCATAAATGGATTTTGTGTCACTCTGTCACCTGTCCAGCAAAACTGAATAATTCAAGGTTTTGTGATTAAGGTCRGTGGTTCACATGTGGTAAGCAGTGGCAGTTAGCGATAAAGCACGGCCAAGATCAGTGGCTTAATTAATTACCTTTCACTCTTCTCCGTGCTTCTTTGAAGGATTTTTCATAATCCTAGTTTATCTGCTTTAAACCAATTTTTAATAAAGCAAATTAGTTCTACAAATGATTTGATAGTGACACCTTTTCTTCCAATTCAGTAGAGTTTTGCATTGTGGCAAACCATGCAAACCATCATCTCGTCTGGCTGACGAGATGATTTTCCCTTGGCAAACCATGAGCTACAGCTCTGCCTGGTGACTCGATAGTCTCTCTGTTCTCAGGTTTAAGATACAGGGGACCTACAACTTGTGATCCCCRAAGAAAAGTCTCCTGTAGAGCTATGAAAAGAGAAGGCTTTGAATTTTTCTTGCCTTCCTCCCCTGTGCTGCGGAAACAGGGGCGGGGGGGCCGTGTTTACATCCTGACGACGGGGAAGGTTTCCTTGTCTGCCCATCCTTCTGTCTGTCACCGTGTCTACGTGTACAGGACCCATAGCTTTCATATGCTGCTTTGAGCTCATGGATAGATGAAAATAAGGTAAAAAAAAMCCCATATTCTCATTTTTTTCAGCCCTGTCTGCCGGGCCTGGTGCAAATCTGGAAGGTTTGCACTTCTGCTAAGAGGCTGGCTCTGCAGATAGGGCGTTAGCGAGTGCCAGGGCTAATCTCCTCGAGCGAGGGCTCGGGMGGCTGGGGACTGGGGATTAGCCCTTGCTCCTTTTGTTCCTTCCCTCCGCTGCGCCGTGCTTCCTGTTCAGCGTCTGCTTTCATCAGAGCCCATAAATGCAGATCTGCCCATAGAGCCTTTTTATACGGCTTAAACTCATCTGTGACAGGGTAATTTTGGGTTTCATGTTTTCTAATCCCAGTCCAAAGGTAACTGGTATGTCAAATAAATGGCGATTATTATTTTTTTTAAGTAGTATCTGGATAAACATTTGTTTATGTTTTCATTCCGTTT